ACTTCATAATTCTTGTATGTTTGAGTTTCGTGTATGAAGCAAATTTCTATCAAATCTTAAATCTCTTACATTAAATTTTGACCTGCCTTTTGGGAGTGAATTTTTATGGTGATGGTAACCTTGTGAGTGGAAAAGGGGCTTCAACATCTTCCAGAGTTCCAAATGGAGTCCAAGTTTAACCTCTTATGCTTAGTTAATCAGTTAATGGCAAGGTTTTCTTATTGGGCAATGTTATTATAAATAAAAATGATTAATTAAACTGGTCTTTATAACTTTATGTGAAATCCCATCTATTTTTTCATTTTCCCCAACTGATCAACAATTATTCTCTCCGCCTGATAGAAAATTATGTTACGCATATGCTAATTTGGTCCTCTAAATCACATGGCTTATTGTTTTATTTGTTGAACTTATATGTATTCATCAATTTTTTTGTTTTCCGGTTTGTTGTTTTAATTCTCAGGAAAATCACGTGGAGTCTCCCGAAGAGCGTGCAAGGAAGACAAAATCGTTCCTAGTCCATGCCGTGGACCACTGGGAGGCTGAGTTTTATGTTAAGGTCAATGATGATGTTTATGTTAATATTGGTAAGTGTTTCTCTATATAACAAACGAACCGTATTATCATTCATTATTTTTAAATTTGTTTTCTTTAATTAACTTTATTTCTGTATAAAATTGTTTTGCAGATGCTCTTGGAGCTTTGCTCACAAATCATTTGGACAAACCTCGTGTGTACATTGGATGCATGAAGTCAGGAGAAGTTTTCTCTCAGCCGTGAGTTAGTTTTATCTTTATTCAGACCATTTATTTGGATGGATATGTGATGCGATCTTTTATAGTTTTATAGGTTATATAACCCTCATTTCTTTTCTTCCATTTTTTTTTTCTTATATTCTTTTAATACCTGTGCAGGAAGCACAAATGGTACGAACCTGACTGGTGGAAATTTGGCGATGGGAAAACGTAAGTCGTGAATGAGTTTTCACTTTTGCTACTCCATCTTATTTTTTGCATTACTTTTCAGATTGAT